TTGAGGCAGTTCTGAAGGCAAAAGGGGGTCCAACCCGTTACTAGCGTGGTGTACCTAATAAAGTGGCCGGTGAGTGTATATTTGGGTATTAATATCACGCCTAGATTGGAAGAGTTAATAAAATTAAACCACATCATGCTCTTAAAGAAAATTGAAGATGATCTTAATAGATGGAAATCTCTACCCATATCATGTATGGAAAGAGTTGCTTCAATCAAAATGATGGTACTACCCAGAATAAATTACTTATTCTGAATGATACCAAATAAACCTTCACCTAAGTGGTTTAAATCCCTGGACTCCTCTATTTCTAAATTCCTGTGGTAAAACAAAACCCCACATAAAATCTCTACAGAAAACTAGAGATACGGGAGAGTTGGAGCTTCCAAACTTTTATCACTACTTTCTAGCCAATAGGCCACAATTGATTTCAAAGTGGTTAAATCCTAGCCCACTAGATGAATCTTGGCTAGACGTAGAACAAACATTATGCCATAACATTAAAATTTCATATCTTTCATTTATTAGTCTGAACATAAAAATACATGATTGCTTTAAAGAGCCAGTGACATGCCAAAACAAAGATATAATTAGTAAAAAGAGCTARTGAGTCTTCATTCTGTGTACACAGAAGCTTCTAACAATAAATATATTCCATAAACGGCTTTAAACTCCGTAACTTTGCTGTGCCTCGCAATTAGAATCCGGGTCAAAGTCCGTCGCATTTTTATGACGTAGCACGAGTAGCTCAAAACGTAAACAATCATGGCGCGATAAACAATCTGTAGTGGTGGTCATGGGTCACTAATCCGGTAGCCTGGCTGCGCTGGGGTGGGTCCGGGATGAGACCTGAGGGATTGGGGTTCTGAGAACGTGCCACCCCTGGGCTGTGGCCCTGGTGGGGCTGGGGAGGCTTGTGCTCTGGTGGGCAGGTTGCTGGGCAGGTTGCCGGGCTCTGGGCCGGTGTGTGCCCTGGTGCCCAGCTCTGGGCTGGGGGCCTCCGGTTCGCTGGTGGGCTGGGGGCTTGGGTTGGCTGGGGTCATGGCACGTGACCAGTAGATCGACCCAGCCTGGGTATCTGTGTGCTATATGTTCTGAGAGTGGTCCAAATGTTGGGGTGGGAGTAGTATGTCTTCTGGGGTGAGGAATGGGTAGGTGGCCTTTGGTGGTGGCCAGGGGCCATGCTGGATCAACTGGTTGGCCCCTTTGTTGTGGCGAGAGCCCGCTCTTGGTGCCCCCTTGCTTTGTCGGCAGTTGGGTGGGCGCTTTCGGCCAAATCGTCCTTGCTGTGGTTCGGTGGCCTCTTTGGGCGGCGGGCTGACTGTGGGGCTGGGGGTCAGTTCTTGGGGGTCATGGTGGCTCTGGGGTGGATGGACAGTTGGTCCCAGTGTCTGGTGGCCCTCTGTGCTCTGTCCATCCCTGGTCTGGGGTTCCGCGGGCCTGGCAGTCTGTCCAGAGGGAAAGGTATTTGTGCCACATATCCTGGGTGGGTTTCGGGGAACAGGGGGTGGCTTACCAGGGTCAGCGGGGGAGCTGGGCCCTTGTAGCATTTTGTTCCTTCAGTTATTTTTTCCCCATCCCTCACTACATATCTCCACCCTTTTCATTTTCAACTCCACTCATGTAGGGTTTTTTTGGGGGCACAGGTGTGCTATAAGAGCAACAATTTTACATCTCTATTTGCCACAACCACTTGGGCCCCAATTTTATTGTACATTGTAAACATTCACTCATAATATTTTCATGACATTCACATATAGGAACTTGGGGTGGGCACTCTATGGCCATGGGTGGCAAGATGGTACAACTCTCGCCTCCTGTGCCTGTGCCCACTCCCAAGGACTGCATGTAGACACTTAGAGTTTTGGGTTAGAGTAGTGGTGGAGGTGAAACTGGCACTAGGCCGACCTCTACCTCTTCTTTTTTCCCCATTTTAATTGTTCTATAGAACAACATGCATCAACAGTACATGCGGGGGGGGGGGGGTCTTTTCTACCCGCCCCAACCCCGATCCCCGACTGCCATTTGGGGAGGGGGGTCCAGAGGAAGGGCAGGCCGCTGGGTGTGGTCCTGGGCTGCAGGTGGGCTCGGGGCTCTGAGGGTTGCCAGGGCCAGGGCTGGCGCTTCATCCTCCCTGGTGCTGTTTGGACTCCTGGAATGTGGCCTATGGATGGCCCGCTGGCTGGGGTGGCTGCCGGGGTCCGGTGGGTGGTTGGATGGTGATGTGCGCTTGGCCAAGGGCAGTGTAGAGGGGTGGTTGTGGACGTGGCTTCTCTGCAGCGGGGGGCTGGCCGGGTGGCCTAGCGCAGCCCTGGCCGTCTGGATGTCTGCTCCTCTCTGCCCCAGAATGAATGGGTCTACTCCCTGGGTTTGGGTGTGTGCTGTCTCCTGTAGGGGGTGGGTGCATGTCTTGGACCTGGGGGGCATAGAGTATGTATCGGGAGCATGAGTGGAATGTGGTGTCCATCTTATATGTCTTCGAATGAGTGGGTGTGAAGATGAGGGTGGGATGGTGCGTTTGTGTATGTGTATGTTTGGGTATTTGTCAGGCTGGGATCTGGGCCGCTCCCCCTGCTGGTTTGACTGGGGGCCTACTGCTACACTGCCCCCTGGTGGGGTGTGCCATTCCCTGCTGGCGTGTTGGTGGCCCTCGGGGTCTGGGGCTAGGTACTGAGGTGTTTGCCGGCCCGGCCTGGTGACTGCCTGCTGGGGCTCGGTTCCTCTGGCACCCTGGAGGCCTCTGTGCCCATGCCTGGATCTGCTCTGGTGCCTGGATCTGCTCTGATGCAACGGGTGCCAGCGGGGCCTATGAGTTTGTTGCTTCGGGCATTTGGGGTTTACTGCATATGGTCGCTGGTAGGGCTCTCCCGGTTCTCCCCTATCGCCCGAACTGGGGGGTGGGTGGGCGGATCCTCCTGTGTGGGTGCCCCTGGAGGCTCTGTGCTCGGGGTCCCTCTCGAGGCCTTGGGCTCTGGTCTCCCCTGTGTCTACCTCGGGTCTTGGGGGTTGGGTCTTTGGTCCTCAATAGTCACTATTAAATATTCCATTGGAGAAATCTTGCACTCAAACAGCTCACAAACAGGTGTTTAGATCCAGGGGGTTCTTGACTGGTCACTGAGTGTGTGTATATGTCTGGGTGTATATATTTGTATGTATGTATATATCTATATGTATGTAAGGGTATATACTGTACATATACACATGTATACATGTTTTAGAGAAAAATGTAATTAATTTATAATGGATATGTATTTTGTTGATATGTTTCCTTATATCCATTTATTTTCAGGGAAGCAGACAGATGTGTGGTCTTGTATTTTCTTGGTGTATATTTAATATATTTTCTAATCTCTATCAATTTTTCTAATTGTATTTCCCTGTTTTTTCTCTTTTCCTCTTTCCTCTTTTTATAACAAAAAAATCTCTGATGATGAAAAAATTAAGAAACGAATATTAAGTACTTTTTTCTACTTAAGGATAAAAAAAGAAAAAATGTGGCACCATTTAAATGGAATTTAACAGGTTTTTCAAAGGTATGGGACTTACTGCCAAGAAGCATTGTTATAACAAAAAATAATCTACCAAACACAAATTTCCTCACTTTTAGTGTTAAGTTCATATTTCAGTACTGTCTATTTAATTGAGTTCTTTAAGCAGTTCAGGAGAATCGGTTAGTTTTCTGTCCTATAAATGTGTGAGTTTAGTTTTCATGTATTCATTCATTTTTAAATTCTGTGCACAGATTCTGTGGTGATTATTTACCAGATGACATCATCAGTACAGGTAAAATTACCTACTTTTATCAAAAATTTTGCCTGTGTTTAAACATGTGCATGCATGTTTTTGATAAATGTCTTTTTATTGATTTTTTATCCAAACAACACAAAACTAGAAGCACTCAGGGAGCACAAAAAATAGTTAAGAATCCTTTAAAAAATCCCTGGATCCGGATCGTGATCCGGATCATCACCAAAATTTAATGGTGTTCCTTTGGCCAATACCCACCTGTGGTAAAAACTTCATGAAAATCTGTCCATAAGTTGTTGAGTAATTTTGTCCATAAACAGACAGATGCAACCAAAAACATAACCTACTTGGCGGAGGTAAAATACAAGTATGTATGTATGTACATATATGTTTGTGTGTGAGTGTGTGTGTTTGTGTTGTATGTGATTTATTACGTTTTTAGTCATATATATATGTGTGTTTGTGTGCAAGTGCTTTACAATAACTAAAAACGTAATAAATTACATACAACACAAGGACTGGAACAGCATCAGAATAAAGAAAACATTTTTGCATAAAAGAAAAAAAGGAATAAACTTGATTATTTTTTAAGAAAACCATAGTGTTCTCTTTCAGATAACAGACCCGAACAGGGGGTTGGGTGAGTTAGCTAGCTTACCTTTCCATCCATAAGCTGTTGAGTAATTTTGTCCACAGACAGAAAGACAGACTGACAGACATATGCGACCAAAAAAATGTAACCTCCTTGGTGCAGGTAACAATACCAAGTCAGATACACCACAGGACAACCTCCCCACCCGACCCCCCAGGTCCAGAATGTATGTAACAATGTGGTTGGAGACTGCAACAATCACATGTAGGATCCAAGTCCTTTTTAAACCTGTGCAATTTGTCTTTGGACCACGATGTACTACCTTGAATTGAATCATTGCATGTCTCAGATATTGAGAAGGAATAAATATTTTGAATAACCTTTTTCCAAACTGAGTCTGATATGGACTCCTCCAAGTCCATCTCCCATCTAACCTGGCCCTTGCCTTCCTACGCAGTTCCACTAAATTCTACTTTCCCTTGACTGCTCCATCTGGGATTTCGCCCATAGACAAAGATTTTTTTGGGAGCATTTCATTCGGGCCAATCAGAGAACAGAACATCTATTTTCTGTGCAGTGTCTGCTTGTAGTTTATTTTACCTAGGCCAATCAGAGAACAGAAGGCGGAGTTTTGAATGACGTCGATTTTCTGCGCAGTGTCTGCTAGTTAGTTCAGCAATGGCAGTGGAGGAAGTGAATGAAGCCAGTCCGTGTTGATAAGGCTTCCAAATTAAATTAAATTTGTCTGACAAAGCAGCAGCTCTCATTTACAGCCATCTCGTTCGGCTCGGAACTTTTCTCCTCTCAGTAGGGTTGTTTACAGCGCACGCGATTTCCAGTTAGCTTCTTAGCTTAGCCTCCTTCACAGCAGAGCTGGCACACATACGACGCGGCCAACCAATCCAATAATTTTAAACTTCAGCAGAGGCCACGCCTCCAGCAAGAATTGCTTCTCTGTAGCTGAGAGTCCAGACCCTCGTACGAAGCAAAGTGAAGGACAAGGGTCTGGTTTTTACCAGGCTGTCTCCCTCGTATTTTTCAGAGAGTTCAAATTGCTTTTGTTATATGAACCAAGCAGGGTATAAATTTTACTCACGGAAAATTTTGTGTCAGATTTACACTCCAATATTTTATCTACAAGAGAAGTGGAAGGGCATAGAGGAAAACACTCAGAGTTTAACATTACAAAATGTCTCAGTTGTAAATACGTGTAGAACTGTGAGTTGTGGATATCAAATTTCTGATCTAGCTGTTCAAATGAGACAAACTTATTGTCTACATAGAGATTATGTAATGAATTTATTCCTTTTAGACCCCGGGTAGTGAAAGCAGTAACTATTAATGAGAGAGCAAATGTGATTGTTTGATACTGGAGCTGACAATAACAACTCTGTACTGTTAAATGACTTCCTACACTAATTCTAGATTTTTATTGTGTGGATTACCACTAGGTTAGAAGTGTAAGTTGAAACTGGTTGTTTAAAAGGTAACTATGAGCAGTGTAACGCAGAGAGAGAACTAGATGTAACTGAGCTCCTTTCCAAGGCCACCCAACTTGGAACAGGAGTGTCCTTTTTTAACCTACAGGTCCTTCTCAAAAAATTAGCATATTGTTCATTATTTTCTTTAATGTACTGATAAACATTAAACTTTCATATATTTTAGATTCATTGCACACCAACTGAAGTAGTTCAAGCTTTTTATTGTTTTAATATTGATGATTTTGGCAAAAAAGTAAAGAAAAATCAAAAACTCAGCTGTCAACTGTAAATGTGGATGGAGGACAACAGCTGCTTCATGGAAGAAGAACCCCAGCTTAGCCTGTTAGCTTTAGCATTAGCCCCAATGCTATCACCATATGTATTAGCTCAGCGCTACACATCCTCCTCTCGTGACTGAGGTCCTCCATCCACATGACAGAGAGGGGAACATAAAAATGACTCAGCCCCTGCAACTGAAAATATGGATGGAGGACCTCTGTTTAGCTTGTTTGTCACGCTAGCGCTGAGCTAATACATATAAGGCAATATAGTGTTGGCACTAGCGCAAAGGCTAACAAGCTAAGCTGAAGTTCTTCTTCTTTGATGCAGCTCTGTTGTCCTCCATCCATATTTTCAGTTACAGGCCGAGTCATTTCTACCTTCTCCTCTCTGTCAACGCTCTCTGGTTTCATTTAAAAGAGCCGATCATCAGATATTGTCCAAGATTAAACTTCAGGGTGGATATAACTCGCTCACACTGAGGACCTATCCATGTCATCATTTACCCAGAATGCTTTGTGTGTAAATAAAATGGCTCCGTGTGTGTTAAAATATCTTTTAAAAATTTTCAAAACTAAACAGCCTACAGTATTTTTACAGTCTTTATTTTACAGTTAAAATAAATGTTTATCAAATAAAGTGTAATGTTACAACTAATCGTGGATCCCTAACAACTTTATTTCATTTTGACCAGTATAAAAGTGATAAGCTTTAACTTTATTTCTAGGAAGTGCTAGAAATTATTAGTTTTAACAATTGGGATTTTCCTGGTTAAAAATCAATACATAAACCATCCAGTGTTTCCCCTAGGAAATTGGTCTGGGGGGGGG